CTCCCCCCCCACCACCTCCACTACCTCCACCTCTCCCTAATGCAGAAGTCCCATCCGATCCAAAACAACCTCCAGTTACCATGGAAACCACTAAGAGACTTAGTTGGCCACAGTCCACGGGCATATGTAGCAATATAAAATCGGAACCTCTTTCTTTTGAGGAAGGTTTAAGCAGCAGCTGTGAACTGGGCATGAAACAAGTTTCCTATGACCAGAATGAAATGAAAGAACAGTTAAAAGCATTCGCACTAAAAAATGCAGATTTCTCTTCCTATTTGCTTTCTGAGCCACAAAAGCCTTTTACCCAATTAGCTGCTCAGAAAATGCAGGTGCAGCAACAACAGCAGCTCTGTGGAAATTATCCAACAATACACTTTGGTAGCACGAGTTTCAAAAGGGCAGCATCTGCAATTGAAAAGTCCATTGGGATTTTGGGAAGTGGCTCCAATCCTGCCACGGGCTTGCCTGGTCAGAACGCTCAGATGCCCGTTCAGAACTTTGCCGACAGCAGCAATGCAGATGAATTGGAACTGAAATGCTCTTGCCGGCTGAAAGCCATGATTGTGTGCAAAGGCTGTGGGGCCTTCTGCCATGACGACTGCATAGGTCCTTCAAAACTCTGTGTAGCATGCCTGGTTGTACGATAAGAGCTGAGTGAAAGATGCAGTATCCCTTTTCCACACGGAAAAGCCAAATAGCATCAGCAGCAACACATCGAATAATGCAGTGGTTTCTATCATGCTAATTTATTTTGCTTTGAAGCAGGTACCTTTTCTCTATGGCATTATTTTCTTGCATTTCTCATAAAGGGGAGGATGCCTTCCCAACTGAATGGCTCACTGGCATGTCTTTTACATGTTCAGCTGCCATTCCTAGCTTTGGAAAGTTTCTTTCTGTCCATGTGTATACAAGTCAATGCCCCATTTTTGTTTTTCTTTTAACCCCGGTGTAGATAGGAAAAGGAAATTTTTAATTACTTAATAACCAGAAATGCAGATATATAAAGAGAATGAGAGGAATGATTTAAAGTGGTTATGCATTTTTCTATAGATGAGCCATTACAGCAAGGAATTTTACAGTTGACTTTTCTGGACCTAGCTTTACCACAGTGATTAAATCCTATTTAGAAAGGGGAGTCTGATTTAAATGTGTGATTCCTTGTATTTACTCCTATCACAAAAGATATATGAAAGGAGGTATGCCATTGATGAAATCCACTATCCTGAGTATTACCTTTCCTCCTGTTTTACTCTTTCTCAAAGACTATGGCAGAATATCTGGATCTTCCTTGGATTTTGTACACATATTGTAATGAAATGTGTCCTACATCTGAAATTGCAGCATGGGACTCATGCCCAGCAATCTGGTTCTAGCCCTTTGACACCTGATCATATGAAATCAATTGGTCAGCCAATAGCCATAAGCCCAGAGGATTTTAGAGCTTCATGTATGGCTTTTAAGAGTAGGTTTGAAAAAAAAAAAAAAAAAGGCCCTAAAATTCAAAGCAAGGAAATAAAATGCTGTATATGAACACATAAATGTGTTGATAATGTAAATATCCTATTCATGGTAATCAATTACTAGATATTAAAATGGGGGGGGGTGGAAATCATTGTAGCCCTTTATTGATGACACCCGTGCATTCTGGCTTCAGACCTTGCAGAGGTTGGCCATCTCCTTTTAAAAGTGTCATTGATGATAAGAGGGACTACCCAAGGCTAAAGCATCAACATTTTTCAGAACAATTATTTTTCTCTTTATTTACAACCTATATAATTCAACCCTTATTTCAAAAAAAAAAAAAAAAACTGTTCTAGGTATGGCATGTTTTGTTTTTCCCTCAGGTATATTCAATACATTCTTCATATTTAGGGGAACTGCTTTTGAAAAAGGGATACTGCATCTTAACAGTTATCTTCTGTGTGCATCCAGTAAAATCTGCGTGTTGAGTATTTGAGCTACATTCCATATACTTTGGCCACCCTCAAACCAGAGGATAGCCGTAGTTCAGGAGGCTCTGTTTTCAAAAGCAAGTTCAGAAGCACATGCACATTGAGGAAAGATGAAAGAAAATAAAAACCAACCACGCCCATTTAACTTCAGATTACAGAGCACAAAATGTGGAGTGCCATTAACCCATTGATTGATTGTGGCTGTAGAATTTGAAAAACAAACGTGGGGGGGTGGGGAATCATCTGTATCCAGGGTAAGAATGACCGATGTTTTCACATGGGATCATCCTAGTCACTGTAAACTTTTTGACATTCCCGTAAAACACGTCTTAAAAGTTGACTGGAATGAGCAGAAATTACATTCCTGAAAACAAGAACACTTGTGATTTTTTATAACAACAAACTATATGATATGTTTTTTTCTCCATATTTATTGTGATGTTGCCAAATTTCTTTAGGTGATAGAGACATCATTTCGAATAACAAATTGCTGATAGTGAGAGGTACTTTATCTTAGAAAGAAAAGAAAGGCCTGCTGCTGTAGCCATGATTTTGGTGCTTCAGTATTGTCATTTCTGTTTTTCACAGTAAAATTGGCAAAACTAATGACTGAGAACGTTAGCAATGCACTTAACCAGCCTTTCCCAAGGAATGCAGCATAAGTTCCAGCGGATCCTTAGTTTTCTCTTCACTGCACGCCAGGTTGTGTTGGGGTGGCATCCTTATCAGTGATGTCTTTTGTCTGCCTGGCTCTGATATCATCCTGATTTCAAAGATCATGCTCTTAGTCTCACAGCGGGGCACCCCTATAATATAGACACTTGCATGCCAACTCCTTCCAAATTCAGTCACTGCTTTACCAGTGTCAGATACTGTCTACACCAGCAAATTGAAGCCCATCACATCAGTAACTGACATGGTGTTGGAAGAAACTCCAGTCTACAGAACCTTTGCACTCGGTATGTGAGGTACAATTGAGGCTGATGAGGTACTGAGCTCATTATCAGTTCCTTCATTATTGAATACTGCCTGCAAGTTGCTTATTGGGAATAAGGAAAAGTGTCCTTCTGTATGTTTGATTTTTCACATAACAGGCTTGGAGAATCAGTTGTTGATAGTGCATGGATTCTATCATCCAGGTCCGATTAGCATAATTTTTCTGTGCCCTTGCCTTTTTTTTTTTTTTTTTTTGCTCCAGTTCAAATTCCTAGTGTTCTCACATGGTTTATATTACTGAAAAATTAGTATCTGTAAGCTAAAATATAAGGGAAAGGAAGAAGAGAAATTTAGATGTAAAATGTGGGTCAGATATTTTATAGGTTTCCATTTGAGATATATATACACACAAAAGCCAGTATATTTGAATTGACTGAGTAGGTTCTTAGTTTTCTGATTTCTACATGTGTCTACTATGTGCAAATGGAGTATGTTATTTACTACATGGTTATTGTGGTGTCGTGTGCAAATGTTAGCACGTGCATTATCCTGATTACTGGACACAGTTTTATTCTTATCAGGAATAGAACTTGCACATGTACCATACAATTTTTTTTTTTTTTACTCACAAAGGATGTATTTCCCTAAGTAGCACTTTTGGAGCAGGGGAAGGAAGAAAACTGCTATTCCCTAATCCTCCTCCTATAAGATATGCATATGCCTGAGGTGTATAAAGACATTTAGGTTAGTTAATGGGCATGTTAATAAGAGCATTCTGATGCAAATTCATTTTCAAAATGAAAACATTTTTTTCTTCCCCAAAGTGAGAATAGCAGAAATTTTGGTGAACTGAGCACCATAGTTATATATTTCCCTGCGAAGGTCTAGTTTGAAGAAAGCAAAACTTGAAAACAAACCTATGAGGTTGAGCCTGGTTGCTATAAAGACTTTGGGGTGGTGTGTGTTTCTGGGATGAGCTATATAGAAGGTTTAGTTGACTGCTGGACCTTGGATATTCTTACTTGGTTCAAAATAAACACACAAAAACAAGCTGGTGCATATGGTGCTTTATAATGCAGTGGAGAGTAAGAATACACATTGCTGTAGCCCCATTTCATTTACAAACCCTCGCACAATTTCAAAAGTGGAAGTTACCGTGGCCTCTGGTTTCCCAGTTCCTCCGTGGTATAATGAAGTCCCAGGTTTTAGAAGCTGAAGCCAAGCCTAGGGTAGCATCGTCTGTATGGTGGTGAGGCCCAGCACAGCGGTAGCTGCCTAGTGGGAATGACCCCTTCTGAGCACGCAGAGCCCAGAGTCACTGTCCATCTCCGTTCCCAGAGAACAATTGTGAAGAGTCGTAGAACAGGAACTCGGAATCAGACTGTCAGGGGCCTATGCAGCCAAAATGTTACTAAATATAAAATTCCTGTCGTCTTCAGTCTTCATGCTTTGTCACTGTAAAGCGAACAAAAAGCATTTTTACTATAATTTAAAGGAGCTGCTTTTTTATAGCACATACTATTTCGCTTTGTACTATATTTGATAGTTGCAGAATAATTTAGACTGTAGAAAAACTTTGTTGTATTTGTACTGTTCTTGAATGTTTCAAAGAAAGTGCTTTACTTGGTTGCCATAATTTTCTTGTACTGCTGTATTCCCCTCTGTCCCCTACTTCATGGAAACCTGATATGGTACATATTTTCAGTAGCTTTTTTTTTTTTTAATGTGTGTTCGTTTGTACTTTTTTTTTTTTTTTTTGGTCAGTATTCTGAATGTTTACATCTGTTTGACATTAGCCATTTAATGCCTTTTTTAAAGGCGGTATTACTCCTACAGTGTAACAGCAAAATGTGAAATCAACCCAAACATAACATGCATGACAAACACAGATTGGGGGCGAAGGCCCTGAACCTACATAGACATTTTATATCAGCATACAGAAAAGTAAAATCCTCCTTCAGTCCTCTACCAAAGAATATATTATTCCCACAGGAAAAACTCAGAAAAGGTGTGTAAAATCCTCAGAAGGGGGAGCAGTTGATTCAGTAAGACTGCAACAATTTAATACTGTTACGCTTGCTTTGATACCTGACTAAATGTGACTGAGTGCAACAAGCATTTAAAAAAATTTTTAGACAGTGTTTTGTTTAGAATTCAGGGATCATGCATTCTTTAATGGTGCTGTTTGTTTTTTATTTCTTTTCTACAAAGAAAACAAGTGTTGCCTACAAAAGTGACTGCTCACAATAACATAAGTTAAATGAAATGAAGTGTTTGTCTCTTCATGTTTCTCTGTCTTTCCCTTTCTCAAAGTAACAACTTGGGTTTCAATATGAAGATATTCTGGAGAAAATAAAGAAATTAAACATGAAATAATTGTCATTTTAATTTTTTAATAAAATGAAGTAATTTATATATGTTACATGTACTAACAATTGAAAATTCTATTTTAAAAAAGTATAGGGACAACTTAAACCATATACTGTTAAATTACTCATGCTGCTTTTTGGTAATGGTGACTTGTCAACATATAGTTATAACTATGTTTAAAACAGGAAAAGCTAAAACTAAAACTTCAGAAATGAATGGTAGCTGTTAATGCTTATCATTTAAGACTATATTTGAACTTTCTGTTTTCATTAAGGTCTTCATTTTTTATACCAAAAAGCATTCAGTTAAACAAATTGTTACTATCACATGTATTTTTAACTTTCAAAATGAATAATTCAGAAAATGATCTCTTAAAAGAATTGCTTTGGTTAATTTTTAAAAATCCTACATGAAATATTATAGCTA